CACTCCCAGAAGCTCCCCCAACCCCTGGGGAGCACGGAGAAGACCACCGATGGCCCAGAGGACACGCTGGCAGTACCTGTACCCGTGGAGAAGGTGCCGGTCGCCGGTAGAGGCTGGGGCTGTGGGAGAGGTGTCAGTGAGAGGCCTGGGCTAGCCCGGCGGGGCGCAGACCCTCTGCGGGTCTCAGTGGAGAAAGGCAGCGTTGGGGGTTAACAAATCTGTGCCAACCCATTGTGTCCCTGCAGAACCCACAACGGCGGCCCCCACCCGCAACCTGCCGCTGAGGTCTCCTCCCGAAAGTCCTTCATGCTCCTCTTTTCAACAAACCAAGTGACCGCTGGGGCTCTCTAAAGTTAAAATTCTTTATTCTGACTTCTCAGGCCTTTCATCATCTCCCTTTCCCCTCACAAGACGGGCTGACCTTCCGCAACCTCCCATCACGGGGCCTGTCTCATCTGCACTCGGGTAGAGTCCGATGCCAGGGCCCGCAGGACGGGGCGCTTCCTCGCCCTCCCAGCTAGGTTACCTCAGAGTCGGGGCCGTCGGGGGAGTCCTCGTCTCCGGAGGGGGGCACCTTGTCGGGGGGCTTCGAGCGAAACCAGCTGAACCAGCCAAACCCTGACCTCTGGAGGAGAAAGGGAGCGGCGATGGCCTGCAGGGTCGCCTCTCCCACTGAGTGCGAGATGTGCCCACCCCACCCCAGCACGGGGGTCGAGAGGCGGGGAGGGGACAGGACCGAAACCCAGATTCCCAAGTCCGCCCGGCCACTTGGGATGGGAACGGTGGGAAGCAAAGACCCAGTCCCTCCGCCTCTGCATCCTTCCGCATCGCCCACCTTTTCTCCCTGTGTAGTGTTTTGGGAAGACTTTTCATCTGCCTCATCGGAGGACTCCCCCTCATCCTCCTTGACCAAAGCAGTGGAACCCTCAGAAGGACTGTGTGCTTGGGGAATCGGTGGCACCTGGAATTAATTAAAAGGAAAAAAAAGAACTACTGTAAATAATGCTATGGTACTATTTATAACTGCCAAGATATAACAGCAACCTGGGTACCCATCAATGGATGAATGGATAAAGAAGAGGTGGTGCGTATATGCAATGGAACATTACTCAGCCGTAAAGAAAGAATGAAATCCCGCCATCTGCAATGACATGAGTGGACCTAGAGGGTATTGTGCAGAGTGGAGTAAGTCAGACAGAGAAAGACAAATGCCATAGGATTTCACTTATATATGGAATCTGGAGAACAGGATACACGAACGAAACAGAAACAAGTTCGTAGATACAGAGAGCATTTTGATAGTTGCTGGGTTAGGGGGTAGAAGGATAGGTGAAGGAGGAGGGGATTAAGAAGTACGAATTGGTAGTTACAAAATAATTATGGGGACGGAGAGTACAGCATGGGGAACATCATCAGAAGTACTGTAATAACCATGCATGGTGTCGGACGGGTCCTGGGTTTACTGAGGTGACCACTTCGTAAGTTATATAAATATTTAATCACTATTTACCAGTTTAACCGTTTCAAAGTGCACAATTCAGTGGCATTAGTATATTTACCACATCATACAACCATCACCACTATGTATTTTGAAGATTTTCATCTTCCCCAACAGACCTTCTGTGTCTGTTAAACCCTAAGCCCCCACTTCCCTTCCCCCACCCTGATGACCTCTCCTCTACTTTCTGTCTCACATAAATGGAATCAGACAATATTTTATCCTGATGAGTATAGTCTCTACCATGTGCGAGACGCTGTTCTAAGGGCTATATACAGTGATTCACTTAATCTCTTATTAAAGTTTAATTGACATACGGCATCGCATCAGTTTTGGGTGCGCAACATAATGATTCGATATTTGCATGTATCGCGAGAGCATCTCATCTTTACGACAGTCCCATGAAGTAGGTACTAGTATCGTCTCATCCCGCATATGCGTAAACTAAGGCACAGAAAGGTTGAGGAACCGTCTGAAGGTCTCACAGCTAGGAAACGGCAGAGCAAGGATTCTGGCTCTCTCTAGGGATTTCTCCTAATTGGATAACTCAAGAAATAGACAAGGGCTTACATATTAGGATGCCCATCACTGTGTTTTTATATGGAAGGAAGGAAGGAAGGAGGGAAGGAAGGAAGGAAGGAAGGAAGGAAGGAAGGAAGGAAGGATAGGGAGGGAAAGGGGGATAGAAAGAGTAGGAAAGAAAAAAAAGGAAAAGAAAAGCAATGTGCTCAAAATGATTAATGACAAACGAATACCAGGCCGCCATGGCCTCGCCCCCTTTGCCTCTCTGGCTTCATTGCTCAGCGCTCCCCGCTGCTCCCCACTGCTCCCCACTTCCCTTGCTCCTCCTTGACTGCCTTTGCCCTCACTATTCCCTCTGCCTTGAACGCCTGCTCCCTAGGTATTTACCCGGCTTGTGGCTACACTCCATTCTGACCTTGCTCATGGCCTCGGGGACGCCTTCCCTGCCACCCCATCTAAGGTAAGATCCCCTGGTGCACAGGGGTTTCTATGCAGTCACCTCCACTAAAAGGAAGCACCACGCATGGGGCAGTCTCAGCCTGGTTCCCTGTGTGTCCCCAGCCCCTGCAACACTGTACGTTGTAGGAACTCAGCATTTGTGAGGGAGTGAATGAATGAATGACTGAATGAATGACGGTACTTTCACACAGTGGATTTTATCATTCTGATATTAAAAATCGTATTTATGAATGATGTGGAACATCTCATTTTACAGTATTACATAACAAATAGGAATGAAAGCTACATATACACATGTTCTTGACCATTTAAAAACACATACATGTATATGTATAGACATAAATACACACACGTCTATATGTATACTATGTACATACAAAAAATATTGGCAGGAAATAACCAAAATATTTGACTGTGGGATTATGAGTGATATTTGATTGAGTCTTTATTTTTCAAGTTTTCTATAACAATAATGTACTACTTTTTCAGTCAGAAAATAAAAAGTAAAGCATAAAGGTTTTTTAAGGCCTGTAGGCCAGTTAGATGATGTAAACCTCCAACCAGGCAAAGTTGAAAAACACCTTAAACTTGGGACCAGTGACGCCCACGGCGGGGGAAGGGAGCACTCATTCAACAGGTGGACAGAATGACTAATCTGACGTGGTCACCTCTGAGACCTTACAGCCCGAGGAGAAAAGACACAGCTGCTGCAGACCTTCTTGGAAGGAAAGCAAGGTAAAAATTAAAATAAAGAAATAAATATTGTCTGTGATGGGGCAGGGTACGGCGAGCGTTTACTGCAATGGGAAGAAGCATGCGTCAGAGGGAGCAGACCTCGGAGGTCAAGCCTACGCCTGCCTGCGGCCCTGCCCCCCAGGGACACAGGTCGGCAGGGTGCAGCGTAAACTGGACGCAGCCTCCCCCAGCCTCTCAGCGTTTGCTGTAGGAGGAAACAAGGAGAAACTAGGTTCTCTGAGGAAGGGACAGCTCGTGCCAGGCCTGGGACGGGGTCTGCACATGGCTAAGAGACCAGGCGGCTGGAGAAAACCCGAAGCGTGGAGCGGGCTTCGCCCTCTCACCTGCGGCGTGGAAGCGGCCATTTGACCATCAGGACGCTGGACGGTTTCTTGAGATTCTGCGTCTTCACCTGTGGCACGAAAACAACCAAAACCCATGATTTGCGGGGGTGGGTTTTCCCTCCGCCCTGAAGAAGGGGAACGGGACAGTCGGCGGTCCTAACTGCACAGCAGCTGGAGCTCCGAGCTCGTCATCCCAAGCGGGTCACAGGAAACTGAGTCCACTTGCACGGCCCTCTCAATTCCAGCCACCTACGACTCCCTGGACACGCCCTCTCCGCCCTGAGCCCAAGGTCATTCCTTAGGAGTCCTGGAAATCAGGGTCACATGGAGCTCCATCACAGGGCTCCCCCCAGCCGGGCCCCCGTCTGAGTCTCCAGTCTTGGACAGGCCGTAATCTGAGAGGGTCTAAGGGCGAATCCTCCTGTCTGGTCTCTGGCACTTCCCTGCTGTCACTCAACACTGCCCTGTTGTATCAGGCCACTGGGCCTGAGACCCTTGGGAGCAGGACAGGAGCCCGGGCCTCTGCGGGAGTGAGCTCTCAGATGTAGGCTTCAGGAGGAGGACTCGGCCAAAGCTGCAGCCTGAGGCGCAGGTGGCACTTTCCTCCTTTCTCTGCATGACGGCCCCTCTCCTAGAAACCGGGATCTAAGCGGAGGGCGGGAGGGGCTGCCACCAGCCTTGCTAAGCTTGTCCCAGCAAAGAGGCTGGCTGGAATGGAGAGAGCCGACTCCCTGGATGTATACAGAGTGCCAGCACCAGGCCGACACACAATAGGGCCTCTGTCATGCACACACCGCCTACTCAGCTCTTTCCCGGCTCAGACCCCATCACCTCCCATTGGTCCCTGCACCTCCCTCATCTGTCCCCCCACCAAAGGCGCACAGACCAGGCCTCCAGCCTAGGGCAGCTCTTACCAGGGGGCGGGTGTGTCTGCTGGGTTCCCTCCCAGGCCATTCCTCCAGGGGCCTCTGTCACTGCTATGCCGCCACCTGTCCCGGGCAGATGGGTCTCGGGAACCGAGTAAAGAGGCACCGGGACCCCCATCTGCCCTGAACCTCCTCCCGCTGGGTAGGAGCCCAGCTGGACATGAAAAGGCTGCTGTGGGCTGGGTCCGGCAGGCCTTATCTGCTCTGCTGCTGGCCACGGGGCTGAGCAGTCCCCACGGGTTTCTGAGTCACCTTGATGTCTTGAAAGATCCTGATAGGAAGTGTTTTCTAAAACACAGGGCAAAGAGAAAAAAAAATGAGACCTGAAATGTGGTATCTGCACGAACGAATCACACCAGGAACATTCCTGCCCATATCTTTGGAAAGCAATGACGAGCACAGCCCTCCCGATGCACCTGCCACCTGTATGATGATGAGGACAGCGCAGCGGCGGCTCTAACACCGCTCACCGCCCGTGACTCCAAGTTCACAGCAGTGTGTCCCGCACTCCCGTGTCTGATCCCTGAGCCTCAGACCAGAGCCCGGGGAGGGCGGGAACTGCCATCGCACCTGACGCCACTCTCCATGTTTAGACGAGCTTTCTCCCTTGAGGATTTCCTAATGGGCCGGGATATGTGAAACTTAGAAAGTTTCCAGCGAAAATGCCAATCAGACCACAGAAATCATGGCTTTGCTCTTCAGGAACTGGAGCGTGTGCCGTGGCAGGGCCCTGGCTGGTATTTGTACTGGCCGAGATGGGCTAAGATGTGCATGTGGGCAAGATGTGCAGAATTGGGACAATAACGTCTGTGGACCCAAGGTCACAGCACTGCTGTGGGCGGCCGACCCACCTACTCCGTTGGGTGACAGGAGACACGGCTGCTTCCTAGCAGAAGCGGCTTTTCAGAAACACCCAGCCCGGCTCTCCTCCAGCCCTTCACCTTCACAGATTCTGTGGCACAGAAGCCAGGGCCCGCCTTTCCTGCCTTCCCCTCACCCCTCCCTGAAGGAAGGGCTGGAGGCTGGGAAGCGGCTGGAAGTGGAAACATGAGGCCCTGTTCTGACTCCACAAGGGGGTGTACTTTGGGGAACAGGCACAGAATTGGGGCAATAACGTCTGTGGACCCAATACTCAGAGGCATCCTGAGGGGAACAAGGGACTTGCTGAAATGCTTTGAAACGTACTTCACGTGTGTGTGGCGATTGATCAAAAATCTGAAGAGCTCCCTATGTCCCCAACACTAATGTATTCAGCTGGGGACAGATAGTGATGCAGGTGAAACAATCAGATAACAACACTTGCAACAGGTGTTAAAACCCGAACGGGAAGCAGACACTCTACTAACGAGGGAATTTAGAACTGCCAGGATGCTGTGGCCGCAGGGGCCCCATGGAGAAGGTGCCTGGACCTGTGGTCAGGCTGACTCAGGCAAGGAAGCCACTCCGGGAAGGGAGGGGAAGATATGTTTTAAGTTGTGTTATCTTGTTTGATCAGCTCCCAGGAGTCAGCTACTTACACACTTGGCTCATCAGTTTGGGTACCTGTTGTTCCTCTGGCTCCCGAAACATCGGAGTGAGCAGACCAGGGATCCCCAGTATTTCCTGCTACCTTTTGCTATTTAAAATAAAGCAAAATCCTTTAAGCATCACAAAGAAAAACAAGAACCGCGGGGTAGGAGCCCAGCTGGACATGAAAAGGCTGCTGTGGGCTGGGTCCGGCAGGCCCTATCTGCTCTGCTGCTGGCCACGGGGCTGAGCAGTCCCCACGGGTTTCTGAGTCACCTTGATGTCTTGAAAGATCCTGATAGGAAGTGTTTTCTAAAACACAGGGCAAAGAGAAAAAAAAATGAGACCTGAAATGTGGTATCTGCACGAACGAATCACACCAGGAACATTCCTGCCCATATCTTTGGAAAGCAATGACGAGCACAGCCCTCCCGATGCGCCTGCCACCTGTATGATGGCGAGGACAGCGCAGCGGCGGCTGTAACACCGCTCACCGCCCGTGACTCCAAGTTCCCAGCAGTGTGTCCCGCACTCCCGTGTCTGATCCCTGAGCCTCAGACCAGAGCCCGGGGAGGGCGGGAACTGCCATCGCACCTGACGCCACTCTCCATGTTTAGACGAGCTTTCTCCCTTGAGGATTTCCTAATGGGCCGGGATATGTGAAACTTAGAAAGTTTCCAGCGAAAATGCCAATCAGACCACAGAAATCATGGCTTTGCTCTTCAGGAACTGGAGCGTGTGCCGTGGCAGGGCCCTGGCTGGTATTTGTACTGGCCGAGATGGGCTAAGATGTGCATGTGGGCAAGATGTGCAGAATTGGGACAATAACGTCTGTGGACCCAAGGTCACAGCACTGCTGTGGGCGGCCGACCCACCTACTCCGTTGGGTGACAGGAGACACGGCTGCTTCCTAGCAGAAGCGGCTTTTCAGAAACACCCAGCCCGGCTCTCCTCCAGCCCTTCACCTTCACAGATTCTGTGGCACAGAAGCCAGGGCCCGCCTTTCCTGCCTTCCCCTCACCCCTCCCTGAAGGAAGGGCTGGAGGCTGGGAAGCGGCTGGAAGTGGAAACATGAGGCCCTGTTCTGACTCCACAAGGGGGTGTACTTTGGGGAACAGGCACAGAATTGGGGCAATAACGTCTGTGGACCCAATACTCAGAGGCATCCTGAGGGGAACAAGGGACTTGCTGAAATGCTTTGAAACGTACTTCACGTGTGTGTGGCGATTGATCAAAAATCTGAAGAGCTCCCTATGTATTCAGCTGGGGACAGGTAGTAATGCAGGTGAAACAATCAGATAACAATACTTGCAACAGGTGTTAAAACTCGAACATGGCGATTGATCAAAAATCTGAAGAGCTCCCTATGTCCCCAACACTAATGTATTCAGCTGGGGACAGATAGTGATGCAGGTGAAACAATCAGATAACAACACTTGCAACAGGTGTTAAAACCCGAACGGGAAGCAGACACTCTACTAACGAGGGAATTTAGAACTGCCAGGATGCTGTGGCCGCAGGGGCCCCATGGAGAAGGTGCCTGGACCTGTGGTCAGGCTGACTCGGGCAAGGAAGTCACTCCGGGAAGGGAGGGGAAGATATGTTTTAAGTTGTGTTATCTTGTTTGATCAGCTCCCAGGAGTCAGCTACTTACACACTCGGCTCATCAGTTTGGGTACCTGTTGTTCCTCTGGCTCCCGAAACATCGGAGTGAGCAGACCAGGGATCCCCAGTATTTCCTGCTACCTTTTGCTATTTAAAATAAAGCAAAATCCTTTAAGCATCACAAAGAAAAACAAGAACAGAGAACAATGGTTTAAAACTTAAGTAAAAAAGAAACTGCAGAGGGAGTGACAAGGTTAGGGAACCTCAGCCAAATGCGGGGGGCTGGAGAAGAGGGTCCACTGGGTTGGGGGTGGCCTCGGCCCTTCCCAACTCCCAGTTCTGCTCGGAGCAGGAAGGGCCCAGGAGGCCAGGGCCGTCCATGTCTCCCCAAGGACGGGGCAAGGGAAAGGAACCCAACTCCAGAGCGAGCAGCACACGGAGAGAGTCAAGGCCACACGTGCCTGAAAAATCCCACCCTGCCCTCTCTCAGAGAGAATGAAAGAAAAGGGAGGAGACCCTGTGCCGACTGCTGTCAGATTAGTACCAGCGGCTTCTGCGATTGTCAGAGCCAAAAAGGAACGGCCCGGACATCTTTAAGCGATTGGCCTACATTACATTAAAGTGACATGGGTCCATTGTGACCCGCTGTTCCTAGCAGAGAGGTGGACGCTTTGATGGTCACAAAACGCGCTTTCCGGGCCTGCAGAGAAGGGCGGCGAGGCTGATTTTGAAAAGGGCCCCACTGTCTCACAAGCGAACCCGGAAAAATGTTTCCGCCCAGGAGAGGGGCAGCAGCCGGGAGGCTGAGTGCCACCCCTTCCCCGTCCGACTGGGCCTCGTGAGCGATGGGGTCGGGGACGTGCCTGGGTCGGTGCCTGCCTCCTCTGTGTCTAGGGGAACTAAGAGGGACGCGAAGGGCCCGGCCACTGACCCGGCTGCACCCCACTCGCCTCCAGCTCCTGGCGCTGCCTCCGGAGGCGCAGAAGCCACGCTGGCTCCTGGTCCGCGTCTCCCCGGCGTCTCTCCAGCACCAGAGGATCCGACAGCTTCAGCCTCTCTGCCAGCTGTGCCAAGTTTCCAGACGGGCCAGGGGCAGAGAGTAAGAGAGGGCAAAGGAGGGAGAGAAGGGGCGTGGGAAGGAAATGGGGAAAGAGGCAATAAGGGAAAAGAAGAAAGAGAACCTCAATGCACTTGTAAAATAGGATAGAAAGAATAATTAATTGAGAGAGAGCAAATTCTGCAGATATCTTCCCAAAACTGCAACATAAATAAGCAATTAACCCATCTTGGTGTTAGATCAAGAAATGTAATACGTGGAGAGAAGCAGTTACTCGGCTTTATGTCCCTGCAAAGTTGTCTGCTCTGTGGCAGTGCTTCTCAAACTTCAGGGCTCAGAGGACCCCCCGGGACCTTGTTAAAATGCGGATGCTGATGGCAGAAGGCGGGGTGGGGCCTGAGGTTCTGCATTCCTAACCAGCTCCCAGGGGACGCCCACGCTGCTAGCCGAGGGACGACTTTGTATTGCAAGACTCTATTCCGTCACCGATTTCCAAAACCTTCCTACTCCTCCCTTCTGGGTCCCTGGGCTCACTACCCACCACCCTCCTGTTGGCAGAAGCCTCAGGGCAAGGGGACAGATTTTATTGGTTACAGAACCCAACACTTGGGCCTCATCTAAAGCAAAGCAAAAACTCATGGTTGGCTGCCTTTGACTCTCCAGCTAATACATATGGTTTTTAATTAATTGAAACAACGGTTTCCCTGATTGTTTTCTTCCCCAGGAACTAAAAGTTGATTTTTTTTAAAAATGTATCCCGCCTGTGATAAAGTATTCCATACCTTTAAAAGCATTTTCGTAAGGAGCACTTCCTGTTTTAATCACTAAAATACATTTTCGAAGCGTAGCTTTTACAGTTAGAATGGTTTGCCCTCAACATGCAGTGTTACTGCTCCAGAAGCAGCACAGGCAGCGTGAACGGCCTGCACAGCTCACGCCCGGTCTCCAGTCTCCCCGATCTCCCTGTGCCCCCCCAGCAACAGCCTTCTCTGTGCAGGGTCGGGCCTCGGCTTAGCACATCTGGGCGCACGGACATGGTCAAAGCCAGCCACGGGCTCCCATTTTACAGCATGTTCAAAGAGGATGAGATGGGGACTCTAAGCGGCTGCACAATGCCTTTCTCTGAACACGGAGGATAAAGCGCCTGCAGAGAACCCTTTGAGAAGCTCACCTTGATGAGTTCCGCCAGCAGCACAGGGTGACCGCTCTCTCCCTGGCTGTGTAGGGCCGTGCCGATGGCTTCGCAGTAATGCAAGGCCTGGGACGCAAGGCCGTAATCCGCCAGCCGGGCAGCATAAAGGAGCTTATAAACCTGTGAAGAGGAACGGGGCCAGGGACCAGTCCATCCAGGCGGGGACAGAGAGAGAGAAGTGTAGATAAGACTTCTTGGGAGTCAGCTGACTGCCAGCTTCCTCTGACTCTGGCATCTGAACATCAAGGAGGGCCTGGGGCCATTTGGGGCGTTCTATCCGTGTGTGGTCACAGTTCCAAACCCAGCCTGCACTTCCTGCATGATGAAGGGGTGGGAGTCACAGCCACTCAATCCCCCGAGGCCCTGGTCACCATGGAAATGCACCAGACCATTTACTTCTTTTTCAGGCACCCATGACTCGGGAAAGCCTGGCGTATGTGCGGCACAGGACCCGGTGCCAAGGGAAGATGTGAAAAGAAGAAGAAATTACTCTGGTGCCGGAGCTTAAACCCAAGGCAAAGAGGACACGAATATGGCCTCGCAGCCAGAGAAGCACACGCGAGGGCCTGGGAATCAGACAGACCCCAAGGTCGAATCCCAGCTCCACGCTGGGCATGGAACCCTGGCTCATCACCCCACCTCTCCGCGTGCTCACTCTCCTCACCACAGTTTGGGAACAAGAACACTATCTACCCCGTGGTCCTCCTAACGGTTAAACGAGATAACCCGTGTGCTCAGGACAAATGGCGTGCGAGAGATATGAGCCGAAAGCACCGACCCTCAGTTTCCTCTTTTGCGAAAGGGGGTTAACGCACCTGCCCCTCAGGATTAGAAATAGAACGCTAGAAGCATAAGAGCCCAATGCAGCCCACGCAGAGCAGGCATGCAGACCGCACCCACAAAAACGAGCTGTTCTCACTGCGGCCGGCCGGGGGCAAGCTGAGGGGCGGGTGCCCGAAGGAGAAAGAGTCTGAAGGCTTTGCTGAAGAAGGCACGTCTTTGCTAAAACTCTTGAAGAAGATACTAATAGGGTCGTTTTCCTGTATCCAGTCATTCATTCATTCACTGTCAAGGTTCTGTTTGTTTTGTGTTCTGTTTTATTTTTGGGGGGTGGAGGGGTGTCGCTGCCACCGTGTCACTCTCGGTACAGGCACTGAAGGAGTCTTTATGCATTGAAGGCGACGATAGGGCATCAAGGGAAGAAGCTGAGAAGAGAAGTTAGAACAGTGGACGCTGACGCCCTGGTGGGGCGGAGAGAGAGAAGGGTGCTAGCCGCGGATGGAGCGGGGAAGAGCCTCCAGTTGGAAGACAGAGGCGTCCAAAAGAGGTCAGAGAAGCAGGTCAGTAGGAGAGGAAGCAGGGCGAGCCGCCCCCCAGGCAGCGCCTTCCTGCCCCCTCCCTGCAGGTGGCTGCGGGGGCCGGGGAGACGGGACGGCTGTGTGGAGAGAGAGCGGCTGCACAGCAGGCCCAGGCCCAGGCCCAGGGCCACAGGCAGGATTTTCCTCCGTCAGGAGCGAGGCTAGAGCCTCTGGCAGAGAGGCCACCGCAGCGTTTTGCTTTCATATCTTAAAATACAGACCTTTAGGGGACCTGGAAAGAAATCCTAATCCTCCCCACGCTTGAGCTAAGGAGGGGAAGTTGGTAGACAACTGAGCCTAGCTACCATGTGCCACATTGCAGAGCTGAAAATCCAGCTGGCCAGAGGCAGCTGACACAGCTCATGCGGGTGCTGGCCTCGTGCGGGTTCCATTACCTGGAAAGAAGGGATGAAGGACTGGGGGCGGCCCAGCGTCTGACAGAACTCGAAGATTTCCGTCCTCTGGATAGCCTCGGTTGTTGCGAATTTCAGAAACGCTTGACTAAAACCAGGGAATAACAATAAAAGAGGCTGAGATCAGGGAGAGGAGCTTAAATCCTAGCAGACAGCCAAACACCGGCTCCCCCACTCAGGGCAGAGCTTCTCTCCCGGGCTGACCCCTGGAGCAGCTCCAAGAGAGGAAGGAGACTCGGGGAGTCCAGAGTGAATGCTTTGCCTCCTCGTGCCCCATTTTCTTGAAGCGAGAGAAGGACGAGAACAGAGCCCTGCACCAGAGGCCCAGGGGATGGGGCCAGGCCGCAAGGGCGGTGGGGGGAGGTGGGGACGGGGTCCCCTGCCTCCTTCACTGGAGGGTCGCTCAAGGCAAGCTGCCTTCCCTCCCAGCTTGGTGGGGCACTGGTCCTCCCGAAACATGCTAGGAGCTAACCTGAGGGCCTGGAAGCCTAGAAGGTGCACCCGTGACAGGCCACTCCCGACCGGGGCCAAAGAGCAGGAAAGAGGGAGCAATGTAACACCCCTAGAGCACGGAACGAAGGGGGCATGGCAGAGGATGCGGAGGCCCGCTGGGCCACAATCCCAGTGACGGCCCCTTTGCTGGATGTTCCTTCGGCCAGTGAGGAAGCAGGCTGGGTGAACCTGATCTAATCTGAGGGGCCATCAGCGTCCCAGTGCCCCAAATGTCCCCCTCAGCAGCTCGCAGCAGCCAGCAGGGCTGATCCTGGTTACGACTGTGTCTCCAGAAGTTTCCTTGTGCAGTATAAACATAGCAGGGAGACACATGAACTCACACACTCTTACTGTCATATTTGGCACAGATGGGCTTCTCTGACGAGCTAACTGTGTGCTGCTGTCAGAGCCCAGGGCCTCGATAAACAGGCAACAAGACAGTGTGTCTCTACAGCGATGTGTGCAGGCAGTCCAGTGCAGCGGTTAGAAGTAAGGGCTTTGCAGCGGGCAGTCTGGACTCCAACTCTGACTGGACACCACAGGTCACTTAACCTCTCTGAGCTTCAGCTTCCCTCCTCTATAAAGTGAAGATTAGAAATACGCTTTCTTCACAGGGTAAATTTGTAACGATGAAAGGAAATAAATCAGATGTCTGGCACACCATAAGACCTTAGGAAATCATAATTGTTACAGGGTCGGGGGAAGAGAGGTCTAGAACGTGGACGACCGCTAGGAAGCCACCGGCCTTTGTGTCGTCTAGGGGCTCCTTAAGGTCCTCCTGCATGAAAAGCCTAAAGTGACAGCTGATGGAGAATAAGTGACAGGTGGGACTTTGGGTAACTCGTGCACCAAGTCGGGGTAGGGGTGCAGAAGCTAAACAGACTTCTTCCACTTTCCAGTTTTGCCCTAGGCTGCCTAACGCCAAGCAGTAAGCCAAAGGCCCTCACGCCAACATGTCTAAGAGACAGTCCCTGGCCGTGGAGCCAGGGCGTCACCAAGTGGCCAGAAGGGTACAATACACCCACAAGCCGCTGCTTCCCGCAAAGCCCCCGCCGGTGTGATAAGGCGCCCACGGGGCAGCTCCTTGCCCACACCTCTGCCGAAAACCCCAGAGGAGGGGACAAGCAGTAGCTCAGATGCACACAAGAAAATGAGAAAGGGAGCCGTGAAACTCGGCAAGGCCTAAAACAATCCCCTGGAAAATGCCCCTTTCCCCCAGAAGGTCGCATACCTGTGGCTACTGCCCAGCAGGGCCAGGTGGTCCGTCTTCACCGTGTAGTGGCCAAAGGGCACGTGAGCCATGAGGTAGCAGAAGTGAGCTGCCTCCACCAGCCCTTTCCCCGCTGCAGGAGGAGGACAACCCTGTCAGGGAACCCGCCATGTAGGGCCTTATCCTCTGGGTGGGATGGGGGGCGGGGCGGGTGGGCGCTGAGGTCACGGGAGAGGGGCCTCATGGGAACAAAGGCAGGACCTTCTCATGACCGCTGCACGGACCCCAGGCCCCACTCACTCCTTTCCCGTCCACGTTTTTGGCCTCGGACATTACATTTCAATTCTTTTCAGCCGGAATAAGGCACTATTTTATGTTCCCCCTAATGGATTTTTAATTAGGAATTTTATAAGCATTTTAGTGCTTCCTGAGGGTGAGACCCCGATAGAGATGCCTACACCTGAGCAAGGAAGTGGGCCGTTGAAAGCAGCAGTTTTTAAACTAGGCTTCTTGGGGCACTAATGCCAGCCCTGGTGAAATCAAACAATAGAAGGCTTTTACCGATGCTCATAAAAATCGCATTAATTACCAAATTGTCCCCAGCTTTAAAATGTCCTCCCATACGTTTCCTCCAAAACTGAGTTAATTCAAGAAGGTGAAGTGCCTATCACAAAGCCCGGCACTCAACAAGGGCTCAGCAAATGTTAGTTCCCTTTGCACCTGGGTGCTGAGCAACTTGGCACAATCTCACAAAATTCCACGAAGAGCATCATGATTTCCAGATGCTCTGCCCCTTGACCGAATCTGAGAATCACGGATCTAGAACACTCCATAGCCCCTACGTGTTTCTAAGGCCATGGTCACAGGGAGATGATAGAAATAAAGACTACGTGATTATCCAGGGTAGTTCAGGCAAAAATAGAATTTCCTGTCTGGTCGAGCTGGGTCACTGTGGGACTAACAGCAGGCATCAGGAGGCAAGACGCCCTGTGTCTTAACTCATCTTCAGGGGACTCTGACCAGAGACAGAAGATCCACTACTGAAAAGAGCCTCCTCCAGCAGTAGAACCGCGGAGCCACAGGGACCTGGCCTGCGCCGGCTTCCCAAAGAAATTCCAGAAAACAGAGGCAGGGGTGCTTCTTGCCCCGGAGTCTCTATCCCCTGTGTCAAGGGCAAACCAGAGGTACAGACTTGGGCCCTACACAGACCCTGGGAACCTCAGTGCAGGATGTTTAAAGCTGGCTTGTGGATGCCTTAGAGGAGAGGAGAAAGATGATGCTGGCTTCCACTTACCCAGGGTGTCCCCCATGGTGACGATTGTGCGCTGATGCAGCTCCGGGTCCCCACCCTGATTTGACAGAATCACTGCCAGGTGAGGCCTCCAGTCTCCCCACTGCTTGTCCCCACAACACTGAAAAGCAGCAGAGAAAACAATATTGAAGATTCACTCAATAATGTAGTACTGGCCAGAATGGAGGTGAAGAAGGTTGTTGAGTATTTCCTGGTTTGGAGGAGTTCGGGGAATGCCCATTATACTGCCCGCAGTGCTGCCATTCATTAAATTCAAGTTCTCATTTTAAAAAAGCAAAACTCCTACAAGAATGGATAGGCAGACAGGTACATATACATACATACATACATACATACATACATACATACATACATATGTACATACGTACATACATACAAACGACAGGGTCCCTCAGCCATCTCCACTGGTCAAGGAGAAGCAAAGGCTGTGCCCTTACAGAAAATGCCTGGAACGAGGGCCTGGTCCCTCCTAGCACAAACCTCCCATAAATAACTGGTCCATGGAAGCCCAGACTACTACAAAGGAACGTGCACAGCATCTGTACACACTACAAAGGCAAAAGTAGGGAAGGAACGTGAAAAATAAATCGAAGGTAGAAAGAACATTCACCAGAAAAAATGTTACCATGAAACCAAGAATCGTCACCAAACATTTTATCATGAATTCAAGTCAAATAAAGGAATGAAACGACTTCTTCTACAAAGCAAGGGCCTAAAATGAAGTTACACGAGCTCGGGAACGATGCTGGGCAACAGAAGCAGGTAGATGTGGCCTGCAGAGCTCAGGGAGGAAGCAGGAGAAAAATCAAAGAAATGAGGACAAAAATGGCAAGAGCAAAAGCGAAGAGACACTGATGAAAATACAAGAAGAAAATCAGAAAAGCAAGCGAGAAAGAAATGAAACTCAGGCAAGTTTTTTAATTAAAGAGAAAATTATATATACAGAATTCACGTTCTTATATATATGAAATGTGTATACTGGAGTTCCTGAAAAGGAAACCAAAACAATGGAACAGAACAAATATTAAAGGCTGTGATTCAAGCAAACAGTCCTGAACTGTGGGCTATGAATACACGTGTTAAAGAGCATACTGTGTCCTGAGAAAAAACTGACCCAGATAGTCAACGCCAAGATGTATCCTACAAAAGTTACTGGACTTCAAGGGTAAGGAAGGAAGACTTTGGGGTGAAAGGATCACATGTCTTTATAATGGGAAAGCCATCCTGCTGGCCTCAGACATCCGAGCCACATCCAACTCCAGACGACACGTCAAATCTAACACGCCCGGCTTTGAAGGTCAAGGTGCGGAGGTGGAGAAGAAGGGAAGCCCCACTGCGGGACCCGGACGACAGTGTCCGGTTCTCCTGTTACTCACGACAAAACGGGCAGGTGTGCTGGTGTGGGAAGGGCCAGGTCCCCGGAACCAGACAGACCTGGGCCGACCCCGACTCCACTACTCGTTAGCTCTGTGATCGTGGGTCATTTTACACCTCTACACCTCAGTGTCCACGTCTGTAAAATGGGGACGATATTCCTACCTATGTGTGTGAAATGAAATAATATGCATCAAAGCACGGGGCACAGGCTGAGTGTTTAACAAACGACTGGTATTGATTTTTACTCTTTAAAGCCATCCCCATGGCCCTGAGCAGTCCCCACCCCCTAAACCCTGAGGATGCTGGGGTGTCACCGGAGTCCCGTCACAAAGGGTACCGTGGCTGCTTGTGGGGTCCTCCCCGACATGAGCTGGAAGAGGGTCTGCAGCGGGTCGTTGAGCGCCAGCGTGCTGGTGAAGCTGCGGAGAAAGGTGACCGTGAGTGGGGACCAAGCCCGCCGGAGTGGGAGCCTTTCGCCCACCGCCAGCGAGGCACAAGGCCTCGTACATTCGCATTTGATTTTAGCAGCTTCGTTTTGGAACGTGACTTTCTCTTTGCTTTCAACCGTGCCTTCGTCACATCCACTTTGGTCGGCGGGGAGGCCATGGCAGGATCTTCACCACACATACCGGGTAGATCTTGCTACTGGTGGAAATTTTCTGCCTTTTCTCACTGATGCCCTAAGCCTTGAGGGACCATTTCTGTGGGCCTTCTTCCATCACAGCGATGGGCCGCCAACCTTTCAAAGGCCCCAGCAGTAACCTCCCCTCTGTGAGCCCCTGCTTCCCAGCCCCACCCCCCAACTCCCGCTTCCTGCCGTAGCCCTCCTCCGCGCCAAGCCCGCAGCTCTCAGCGGCAGGTTTTCTGGCTCATCACTAGCCCGGCTCTGTAATGCTTTCACTCACAAGCACTAAAATAGCCATTTTCAGTAACCAAAGAGGCGTAGAACAGGGACCAGCAATGATCGGCTGATGACAAACCATAGGATGTGCTTAACAAGGATGTAATAAGCTCTATAGCTGATTTGAGATTTAAGCACACTCAGAAAGAGTTATTTTTCACAATTCACTGGGCACCATTGAAAATCAATGGCCCAAAGCCAAAACCTACAGCAAAGATGTACATGGATGTAGGATGCTTGTTTCTAAAACCCCCCCAAAAAACAGTCCCTCAGAACACTGTCTTGTACATAATGCCGACAGTCCCTCAGAACACTGTCTTGTACGTAATGGCACCCTTGCTGGGGCCTCAAACCACTGATCGTGTCGGAGCTTCAGAGTTCCTCACCCTTCCAGTCCCTGAACGTCACGAAGTGCACAGGGTGGCGCTAGGCTCTGGGAAGACTGCCGTTTAGAACAGTAAGGAGACTTGATGGAGGCCCTCGTGGAGAACGGGCGCCCAGGGAGTGTGACAGCCGTTAGCCACACAGACTGAACTTAGAGTGGAATGTCCCTCTTAGCCAGCTCTCTGCTCAACGGGATGTATGGCCAATTCGCATGTCGGTGAAGCTGAGAGGGTAACTTCACTAGAAGTTGAACATGGTGAGGTAACGTCCTCTCCGTACCTGACCCAAGCCTGCTTCTTATGGGAGGGTCCCCCCACCCCATCCCTGCCACGTACTCATGGATGGCTGCCAACTCATGGATGCCAGCTGGAGCCTGAAGGACTTAACTCAGAATCCTTCTCCAGCAACCCTTATCCCCACTGGCTCCATTTGATCCTGATTCTCTTTTGCCGTTTCATCCCCCTTACTCCAAACTCCTGATCATGTTCTCACACTTCCATTGCTCTCTTGTTTTGGTTTGGACATTCGTCCTGGTCCACCCTGGCCCCCGGATCGCGGTGTGCCAGCGTGATTTCTGACTACGCGTCCCCCTTCGGCCTGGTCTCGTCATCATCGCCCGCAGCCCTAGATGAAGACTTCTGCATCTAGTTTCTAGTCCCATGAACCCCTTTCCCTACCACAGCTCATGGTCCTGCTACCCCGTGCCCCCATCTTCTTCCCAGCACCCATAACCCCACTGCAAGACTAAGCGGGGACATGTGCTACCTGTCAGTCCTCAGGCTCTGTCAGTTAACTGTAACGATTACTCCTATTCCCTCAGTGATGGAATGATCTAGAACAGCCCCTCCCAAAGAGAGAAAGCTACCACAATGTAGAAACCTACTTACTTTTTGGAAACACTGACCCCGGGAAATGTTACTAGAATGTTTTATTCGGTTTAGCGGATAGAAAGGATGTGTCTGTGTCTAGGTTATAAGACTCAGGAGAAGAGAGACGTGACATTCAGTTCAGAAAAGGGAAAACTGGAAAGATGCTTAGAGTATGGAGCTTCTCGGTGCATCTTGCATTTCTCCCCACTGTCACCCCGCCCCCCACCTTCGGTGGGGAGGCCTCTCCGCTCCATGGGTCTCTACTGCTAGTCCCCAACTCACCTACTCATAACCCAGCTGTAGGTCCTTGGGTCCATCTTGCTGGACAGGAACAAAGCATGACCCCACAGGTGGTTCTTCATGGCCCACTCCAAGGCTTCCTGAAAACAAAAGCATCACGTTCGATATTGCCTCCTCGCCTTCCTCTAACGACAACGAATGCCGTGCTTAGGTACTGCTGCCCCTTGAGCAGTCGAGGCCGGGCTTCCGCGAAGGTTCTCAGAGCCTCACAAGTGAACGTGAAAAAGAAACCGTGGGGAAACGAGCTTTAACTGGCGCGTATTTCTCTCTCCAAGTTGTCCCCTTCTCTTCACTTTATGAAAACGCATAACGCTATCGCATTAGCTCCCCCTCAGACACAGTTTCCAGCCAGCCTTCTCTCTTCAGCAAAAGTCACACAACACTTTCAGGAACCGAAGTACCAAAATCAAGAGAAGAACTCCACCCCAAGGGCCGAGTCTCAAAATACAAATAGCAATATGGTATAGTCGGCCCTCCACATCCATGGGTTCAGCATCCCCAGATTCAACCAACTTCATACACTGCTGGTGGAGTCCATTGATACAACCTCTAAAAAGGCAAATTTTCAACATCTACCAAAATTAGAAACCATATACCCAACATTTTCTAGAAAGTTATATATACACTATCCCACACAGGAAAAAATGACTATGGTTATTCCTTGCAGCATTGTTTGTAATAGCAAAAGACTGGAAATAATCTAAATACCAATCTATAGAGGTTTAGTTAAATTAATTATAACTGATCAATGGAGAGACCTAAGCATCCATAAGATAAAATGAGAAAGATATTTATATGTAATAAGGAGGAGGGATCAACAAAATGTGGCCTGAAGGCCAAAATCGGCCCACAAGCGAAGAATACTTTCTACATTTCTAAATGATTGAGGGGGAGGGGGAAATCTAAAGTAGAATAATATTTCATTACACATGAAAATGATAAATAATCCAAATTTCTATGTCCATAAATGAAGTTTGACGGGAACACAGCCACGTTTATTCATTTCCCTGTTGGCCGTGGCTGCTTTTCGCACGAGAGCTGCAGAGCTGAGCTGTAGTAATTACAACAGAAACACTAGGCCCTGTGAAGCCTAAAATATTTACCGTGGGTCCTTTTACAGAAAAAAATTTGCCAACCCCAATGTAGAGTGTTTTCTAAGATATTTTGTTCAATGAAAAACAGAAGGTGAAAAAAATGTTAAATAGTACTCTGTAAGAAAAAAAGGAGAAAATAATCATATGCATAAAGTATCTGGATATTTCAGAGAGAAATTGAGTGGCTGGGGTAGGGGAACCATTTCCTCTTTAATCTTTTCATTTTTTTAATCGAATTTATTCAAATTGTTTTTAATCATATATTCAAATGTTTAAGTTAACGTAAAGCATGAGTTCAACTTTGAGATGAAACGAGGCATGAAAAATAGGTAAATATGTGAGGTGATAGGTGTGTTAATGAACTCTTTGCAGAGAACCCCTTCCCAATGTATGTGTCTGTCACGTCGTCACGTTGTATGCTTTAAATGTCTTACCCTATTATGTGTCAAATATACCTCAATAAATATTTGAAATAAATAAATATAAAAATTAAAATAGCCTAACTCATATATCGGATAATTAAACAAGGCCGTGTTGCATCTGTCGAATTAAAATATTCAGTGTTGGTAGGTATACCTTAGATATAGGGGGTCGGGGTATCGTAGCCTAACTCATATATCGGATAATTAAACAAGGCCATGTTGCATCTGTCGAATTAAAGTATTCAATGTTGTAGGTATACCTTAGATATAGGGGGCGGGGGTATCGCCTATAAACAAACTTTCTGGAAACTAAGTGTATCGATGAAGAGCTTTTTAAAAGTGTATGCCCTTCAACCCAGTAATTTCACTTCTAGAAATCTCTTCTAAAAAATAATAAAAAGATCCGCTGAAGACTTACATGACAAGACGTTCAAACTGTCTAATTCATCACGGATGACAAAACCATAGACCGCTCACACAGTCAACAACAGCGGATTGGTTAAATAAAATATGATGCCCTCATCTGAGGGAATTTGGCCCAACCATTTTTTAAAGGGTGCATTTTAATGCCATGGGACTATTTCACAGTATAATCTTAAGGAAAAATAGAGGAATAACAGTATATGCAATTTAATTTGATTTTTAATATATATGCCTATAAAAATGATGGAAGTAATTATATCAAAATGTTAACAGGTATTGCCTTTTAGTGGCAGCACTACGGGTGTTTTAAAATTTTATTCTTTGTACCTCTCTGAGCTTCTTAAGTGCTATAACATGAGAACACATTGCTGACATAATTGGGGGAGGACGGAGTGGGGGGTGGGATGCCGGTCGCTTTTTTAATACAAGCCTGACGGGGTGCACTTGCCTTCTTCCTTCCATAGTAGAGCAGTTTGGTGAATTTCTCCACGATCTGCGCCGGCGTCTCCACGCTGGGGGGACTCTCCCCGGTGAGCAGGTTGGGGGCCCCCGAGCTGAGCACTGGCCAGTCGTCATCGGTGAGGGTGATGAGGTTGGCCACAGGCGGCTGCCTGCTGTACTTCTCCAGCTTCCTGCAGTCTTGCATCAGCAGCTCCGCAATGTCTGACCCCACCATGGACTGCAAGGCAAAGAGGATCCTCACGTGGGCGGCCCAGGCTGAAGAAGGACGGCACCAAACGCCTGCCTTCCCCAAAAGGAGGCCTGTACTGTATGCAGTGCTGTATCTCAAACTTCACCTTCACTGTCGTCGTGATTGTCTGCCTGTCAAGAGCCACGAAGGTTGCCAGGAATAGGCACATTCTCACAGGTGTATTATTGGGCTGGTGCACAATAACCCAGGCCAGCGGAGAGTGGCAGGAGAAAGGTCAATGTCAGCAAACTGGCGTTGACATCTGAGCAATCTTTTCCTTCCAGGCCATTTGTTGCTTCTTTAATGTTACCTCTTACAATCATGCCATGAGCCGAATCTTATTTGTCCCAGGAAGGCTTAAATTTCAATCCAGCCCACTCCTGGCCGCTCAGCAGAGAGGCAACACTCACCCCGTTCTGCCGACACAGGAGAACCAACAGCTGCCACAGCAGAGCCGAGTCTCTGCTCCCTGGTGTCTCAGATCTGCGACTCTGAATGGCTTTCTGCTGGCAAAACGTCATGATGTCCACCTTGTGTACGTTCTCCCTATGGAGAGATTTCAGGGAGTGAGGCGTGAGTGGCAGGCGGGCTCTGCCCCCCAGGCCCCCAGGCTCCTCCTGCAGTGCGGGACACTGGCTGGCGGGGCTGAAATGAAGCCTGACCACCCAGGACGGGGCCGGTAAGTCTGCAGGTAGAGGACGGTTGATTCCTTGTGGAGCAGTCTCTCTCTCACAAACCGTCTCCATTCTACAGATGAGGAAACTGAGGCCCAGACACCTGAAATGACGGCTGAGGGCGGCAGGTGAGAGCACAGACTTTGGAGTCAGATGACCCTGGGTTTACATCTGGCCTGACACATCTCGCTTACACAACTTTCACACCTCCTCTGAGCCTCAGCTTTTCCCACTAAGACAGAGATCATTTAAAAATCTACCTCCATACGAAAAGGGAACGAGCACATTGTACGGCATATATCAAGTGCTCGATAAATGGTCAGGATTAATTGCTTGAGACCGTTTAACATAAGCAACACCCAGCTGGGACCAGCGCCCTAATTCCCAAATACCCCAGTGTGTTGCTCTACCTATATCTTACGCCGGAGCGTAAGAACTACAGATGCATTCATGTTAATTGAAGGAGCTGTCAAAATACGAGATGGGGATTTTCTTGGAAGGGGAAATGAAGGATAGGAATACATTTATACAGTGGTGTTGCTATCTAAAGGGCTTCCACGTGCATTATCCCACTTGATTCTCACAATCACCGCCTGGAGTAGGTACAGCCGGCGTTACATCATTTCTTAAAGGATAAACTAAGGATAGAGAGGGCTAACTAATCTGCTCACCATGGTATCTCTAGTTAGTAGGATGCCCAGGACCCAGACCCTCTGCCCCTAGCCAGGGCTCTCCACTGCAAAAGACACCCTGAATATTTACCAGAAGCGACTAGGCATTTAAAAGCAGTTTTAAGTCAGTCCTGCAGAGGGCAGACTTGCACGCTGTCCGGGAACTCAGCCGGGACCGTGCTATTTCTCCAGAAAAATGAAAGCCTTTTTCCCACTATGATGCACTCGTCTGTGATTTCCCAGTCTGTGCCTCACTTCTCCGCTATGGCCTACGAGTACACGGTACGCTAAAACCTCCCATCATGTAGCCTCTGCGAAATGAAACCAATTTCAGATTTTTAAACTTCACATTAATTTTTCTTTCTGCCCTTCAGCTATTGAATTGCTTGTCAAAATGACTCAGGTCACGTTTGGCTCTGTATGGCAACACAGAGAATTCTACTCCAAAGGGGATAGATATTTTCTTTCAAAGAAGCCATGAACAAATCTCCCAAAGTCCTGTTCTGGGCAGGAAGACTTTGTAGGTTTCAAAAAACAAAAAAAAACCCTTACTCAGTGGCTCATATGGTAATTTTACCCGATCAGGGGTCCTGAGAAAGTTCTCATCTCTTCTTGTTCCTCAGAATCATTAAGAATAACCTGGAACAAAGATCAGATTTGCTCTTCAAGACGATGGCCACCGATGCCCTTTCAGTCAGGTCCAGTAACAGAGCCCGAGGCTGTGGCCCCCAGGTGTATCTCAGTGCCTTACAAAGAAAGCAGAAGGACGAATGTGAGTTCCCCAGTTACTGAAGTCGAGCTAAGGGCATCTCAAGAAAACGTATCTAACATTCCTGCACACACACACACCCCAACCAATGGGGTGCATGGCCCAGTGCGCATTCCTGGAGATGCTCGGGCAAAGAGCAGCAGGGACAGCATGCCAATTCTGGAGACACAGATCTCGTTTACCTCCATGCTGTGCAGTTCAACAAGGGCTGTTTGCCCATCACTGAGCGAGCCGGAACCCACGCACACCAGCTGGCCTCCTGGCCCAAAACTCACAGGCACATGAGGGATGTAGAACTTCATGGGCGCCTTGGGACCAGCCGCCGAGACAGCCTCTAACGAAGAGACACAGGTGGAGACTGTCAGCGTGACTGCCACTGCTTTTCTTGGAAACAAACCACAGACACGTTTCTGTCCAAATTGCACCTGGGATCAAGGTACAATTCTGAGCGGTTAGAAGAAGCCCATGCTCCTAGTCAGATTTCAGTGCCCTGAGAATGTCAGAATGTAATGCAAGGATTTGATGCTTAGTCCAAATGGCAAGGCACCAGGCCCAGACTCTTGGTGATGGTGAGCAGCTGGGACTCTTGACAAGTCTGCTACCTCCAGACAACGCAGTTACACTTTGTGGCTTGCCCCTGCTTTACCAAACTGACTCTAGTCCTCACTTCCTTCACTTGTTACCTAAAAGTGCCTCCCCTCCCAGCCAGCTGACGGCTAGGGACAGGGTTCCCTTCCAAGAATCAGCTATACTGCAATCTCCAGTACGAGAGAAGGTAGGAGACGGAGCCAACGCTGGCCACTCTGTCCGGGAGACCTTCAGAAGCAAATGGGGTGGAGGAGGATCCACCTTCGGAAACCCAGGGTAAGTAACTTCCTAAGAGACCTGCCACCCAGCCATCTTTCCATCAGACTCGACCAAGCCCTTTGACCAGCTCGGTACCCACCGGCCTGCACGGGACTCCAAGCTGCTGCGGCCGTGGGGTGGTACAGCTCAGAGGCGTCCGCCATGTACTGACTGAGCTCGCAGCTGCTGGAGCTGAGACCAGACTCGTGCTGCTGGAGAAGGTTGGACTCATTGGTCAGTGCCGGCTGGAAGTTAAAAATAATGGAAACACACAGAAGAATCAAAGGCAGTTTCAGAGCAATGTCCTCCCAATTGCTCCTGCAGAGATACAAAATTCGAACTTTCAAATAAATACAGTGAATATTGAAAGGCAAAGAAGGGATAATTCAACTGATGGGTGTTTGCTAAAGGATGCATGTGGCCCAGTGGACAGTGCAGGCCCTGGGGCCAAGAGGCCTGGGTTCAAGTCCCAGCTTTGTCAATGCCGAGCCGCTATAACCTTGGACAAGTGACTTAGGCTCTCTAAGCTCTATACCTTGTCCTATAATAAAGATAATCCTATCTGCCCTGTGCTTTCCCTGGGGATACAGGTATACAAGAAGTTCATGGAACTTACATTCTGGGAGGATACAAATAAAACAGTGGATGCAAAAGTTCTTTGCACACTGTAAAGTGCTGTGCCTGTGGGTGGCTGCTGTTATCATGCTGTCATTACTATTAGTCATAATAATATGTGCCCTGCCCTGTTAAGCATGAGTTATGGAGAAGGAACTTTTCTCAAAAATCATACAAATCCAATCGGGAAAACAAAACTTATACAAGCCTTTGAAAAATGAAGGCCTTGTCTCTAAAGCATCTCTGCGATTTTTCTGTAAATCTAAAATTATTCTAACATAAAAAGTTTATTTAAGAAAATTTAACAGCTCCATTTTCTGTGGCCCAGCTGGGCTACACAATAAGGTTTTAAAAGACAGAGGGAAAAGTCAAGAAAGGTTTCAGGCTCTGCTTTTCAGTTTTGAATTAAAAGATTCTGGCAGCTTCCCGCTTCCTGGGTAAACCCAATTGCTAGTTCACTGGGGTCCTGGTGGCAGCCTCTTCTCTTTCCTAGAACCTCAGAGTGACCTAGGTGACATTTCCTGATCCAGCCTATTTGACAAAAATGCAGAAAGACCGCAGCATGGCCCCGAACCATAAAATTGAAACAGGAAGGCAGGGAGAAGGGGAAGTGTGAGTGGAGGTTCTGCCAAGCGGGGAAGAACTGGTCACCCCACACTGCTGGCCACTGCAGCACAAGGGCTCTGCCCCGCCATTGCTGACCATGTTGGTTGTGAGGTGCCGTCGCAGGCCACCAGCCCCCATGTCACTTCTGGTTACCTTATTCCTCTGGGCCCCAGTTAGCAGACTCTCTGGGAGCAGGTCCCCAGGCCTCTCCTGTCCAGAGTTAGAGGCGAGGCTGTCTTTATAAGGCTTCTCACTCTGCGATCTGCAGCAAAATGACAGGGACAGGTGAGAGGGGGTCCTGGGCAAGCCAGCAAAGCTAAGCTGCTCTCTGCTGGAGGCTGTTTTGTTGCAAAGTGTAGGCAGGTGTCAGGTTGGCCTGTGTGCCACCAGGAGAAGCACTGTCCTTCCATTAGCCACCTCATTCTATTAATGCCAGAAAAACAGGAGTTCCTGGGTTCCCCAAACCCCGCACGTCAGTCTCTCCGCAGCTCAGACTGGCTGGGCTTGGAAACCACATCTCAGAGGAGAGGCTGTCTCTTCGTAGGGTCCCTGTCGACAGCTGGCCCAGGTCATGCTGGGCTGCTCCCACATCCTTGGGAACAAGACTCCCACATCCCCAGAACGGAAGCAGACGGGCTTCCGGAGATGGGGGCCCAGCACGAGATGTCATCAGATTTTCCTAACACAGCCTGAGTTTGGCCAAATCGTGTTGAACTGGCCTCCCCTGTCACACTTACCGGAACTGGGTCTCATGATTCGTTCCAAAAGTACTGTGCTGGTTTTCACGATGATGGTCACTGATGGACTTTTGATCGCGACAATCTTCATGCCAGATATAAGGACTCGCTTGCCTTGGCACTGCACCCTCAGAGAAAGCAAAATAACGCAGGTCACTTCCTGTTCCTAAAAGTTCAGAAAGACGCTAGCAAGTCGTGAAGCAGCGTTACTGGAACATAACAGGTATGAAAACATTCGCCAAATTGAATAAAATGGATAAGTGAGAGCTAATGATGAAAGTCCCTAAGATGCCTCTCAGTCCTCCCTGAACCAACTAGCATGGCTCTACACAATTGAGCAGTGGCGTGTGTGTGTGTGAGCATGTGTGCGTGTGTGTGCGTGTGTGCATGTTCAATGCTGAAACAGATTTCTCTCTGCTGGCAGATCAGAAGCTGCCATTAGCATATACCTAAAGCCTCACTGGTGTGTAGAATATGAATTCCCATTGATGCTTATCTGTACTCTCAGGGTAAATGATGGTGAAACTCATTACAGCCCAATCACTCACTTGATGTTAAGAACTGACCTCACTGTTCAGTGGTCAGAAACTATAATCTTGGCCATAATGAGAAGCAGAAGAAAAAATGCGGATGAAGTGCAAACGATCCATAATATTAGCAACATAATGATAGTTTCATTGCTATCACCTACACGTACAAAGAAGAATGACTCCTTTCTAGCTCATCTCCTCGAGACATTTAACATAGTGTCTTTGCTGTGACCTCGTCTGGTCTGGCCAAGAAAGAATTGGTGGGGTGTGGACTCTACCTTAGCTGGGCAGGGTGCCCAAGGCATCTGAGGATCTGAACATGGCTCTGTTGACCTCTGCCCGGACTATCAGACCAACCACATCAGCCCGAAGGCTTCTGGGAGATCATGCCATACCTCTTTCTTCCGGTAGCTGCTGCGGACGTCCATGGTAGTAATAGCTGCCATAAGCATATTCTTCCCTTAGAGCTGAAGCATGATAGCTCTGATTGGGATCCTCGATGCCTGGCCTAGAATATCACAAAGCGGGCCGGTCATTCAAGGATGACTGTGGTAAAGAGAGAAACCAACGGAAGGCTGGACAGACTAAATGACTTCAGAGGACAGAATCGTGACCTCGGTCTAGAATCTGCTTAACAGCCACAGGTAATTCCAGATCCTATGAATGGAAAATCCAGACTCAGAGCAGGGTTGGGGCTGCTGTTTTAGAACCAGGCTGGGATTTTTAGAGCAAAACTATCTCTCATTCTCCTTCCCCACGATCCCTCTTACTCCTCAACTATGCACCTCCAATGACACAAGATCTTATCTTAGAAAACCCTGTCCTGAGATGACTGTGGAAGTACCCGAAATGCCACTGTAATTCCCATGCACATTACAGATGGCAACAAGATGGAAAAGTAAGGTTGGATTATCTGGAATCTAATTGCCTTTCTTGCCTCTGTCCTTAACACATCTTCCTTTGAAAATTCAACAATACAGAAAGAGTTGAAAGGGAAACATCATGTTGTTAGTATTTATCGATTAATAGTTCTTCAGTATTTCATAGGGGCAAAAATTCTTTACCACATTTGTCATAATTTCAATGCTGAATCTGTAGGCAAGTAAATATCACCCCACCTGAAAAAGCTAAAGTAGAACAGATATGGCTTCCAATATTCCGTAAAATATGAAGTCCAGTCTCATCAGTTAGAACTCAGGAGCAGAAATTCCAGATTCTCTAACCTAGAATTGCCTCACTGAGACCTCTTCCTTCTGAACTTGGAGGCTGCAAGCTTATATCTGCTTTCTCTGAGCTTGATTTTTTTTTTAAGTTCTCATTCATTCATTTTTTCCATATACCTGTCACACTCTAGGTACTGTTCTAAGTACTAAGGCCCTCCTTGGTGCTGGTGGTTGTCACGCTAAGCCGGGTCAGAGTGGTCCAAAGACCATAAGGAAGTTTTTATAGGGGTTCCTAGGAAAACCTTCCTCAGCGTCTGCATATATTTGTTGCCTTTTGCAATCCCAGGGTAAGACAATCCCATCCGTTCTCTTGAATTTCACCATTTTTTCATTCTTTCTACTCTCTGCCCCACCCTCAACACCCAATCACATTCTGATAGCTTAAGAAGCTCCACTAGGGGACACTGGGAAGGGCAGGGATATTTTTCATCACCAAAATCCAATTTGGGAGAGGAAAGGGTTTAGCTAAGTCAATGTAGTAAGGCGAAGAAGAAAAAAAAGGAAAGAAGATGAGGAATAAAAAGAACAAGAAGAAGAGCTGGGTCCCATCTGAGGTCTAAAACTATACCTTGAACACAATTGGCTGGGAAAACCACCTTGGTAATAGTCAACGCTGGACGCAGGCGGACGCCAGTCCCCGGGCCTGGACACATAGTGAGGTTGCTGGTGGTCTGCCCTGGGGTCCTGCTGTGGCTGGGGGCTCCCACGGATGTCTTGCCATTGACGGAGCCTCTCTCCATTGTGCCAAGGGTGAGGAACAGGCTGACGATATCCCTCTCTCCGAAGGGCTCGGTTAGGGTCCAGTGATGGCGCTGTGGGCCTTCCCCATGGCCGTGGTGGCCGCTGGGGAGCCCAAGGTTTCATCCCTGACCCTCTGAATTTCTCTCTTGCTTTGAGTCAGTTGTGTAGTTATTTTATTCTCCTGCAGAAAAAAAAAAAAAAGAGCCCCCCAAGTTATCATTATTTTAGGCTTATACCAAACATGATGGTTGATTGGGTTTTATTTTAAAAAGCACTTACAGTCCTCAAAATCTTCAACCTAAAACAAACTACATAGGCACTGATATAGAGATATGTGGAAAAAATCTCAAGTAGATACATGAAATACATAACAGTCTAGACAACTCTATTGACGTTGCTTTAGAAATCAAAAAGTATATTTAGAGCAATAATAGATGTGGGAGGCATGGGAGACAGACAGCAGTAATAGATGAATTTTCAAAACACGATCGAAGCATTCCCGTTAAATAAATGTTCATTTATTCCACTAGCAAGTGTCTATGGAGGCCCTATGCTGTCATAGACAGAGAGCAGGCCTTAGATGGAGCTAGACCAGAGTGCAAATCGTAACTCTGCCAGTTATCAGCTAGTTAATGTTTTCAAGCCTCAATTTCCTTATTTATAAAGTGGGGAGCATAAAGACTAGCTTGCAGGGTTACTGTCAGAGTCAGAGATGACTTAGGAAGTACTCACTGCCTGGCTCATGGTTAATTGTTCAATCGGCAGTAGTTAGTATCATCAGAGGGAAGGCTTAGGGTAGTGTGAGTAGCTGATGACATTCCCTAAACAAAAAGAAACTTAAATTGACCTCAAGAGACATCTTTTCTGAATCCTCCAATTCACCTCTTAGAAGAATTTGGCCCTATAATGAGGCGGCACCTGTCCCTCTTCCAGAGGAGCCAACGAGACGAAAGTTTGGGATTGCTTCCACGACCAACTGGAGAGCCGCGTCTCAGTGGTCCTCCCGGCTGGAGATTTGAAAACCTAGAAGTCTCCCTGGCCTCAAAGTCATTTTCTTCAAAATGGGAAATAGCTCCAGAGGACAGACCGCCTTCCGAGTTCCTCTGCCCACTTCGCAGAGGTGCACCTGCACACACCACACCTTGCTCCCCGCTCAGGGGTCACCTTGTTAGCTCAGTAAGACCCTCTGCTTTTTCTCTCTTAGGAACTGTTTTAAGATGAAAGATTCTGGTGAAATCGCATTAGCTTGCTCCCACTCCTGAAGCTCCCAGCCTAATATAAAAATTCACATCAGAACAAAAGGTCAGAGGGTACGTGTTGAAATCACTCTGCTCAGATGCCATGGAGCCAGGGTCCACAGCTACGAGCCGAGAGCTGTCGGGGGAGCAGAATCCACCCGAAGGGCAAGGCACCGAGTCCCTTTCTCCTCAAGATCTGTCACAGCTCAGGAAAACTTGCACCTTCCTGTCTGAGTCAACTCACCTCCTTGAACAAGCCAGATGCACCGAAAGCGTTTACCAGCAAACACTCCCGAACGCTAAACGCCCCGGATGCAGAGACAGGGTGCGTGGGTCCCTCGGAAGGCCATGGAATGCGATACCATTTGGACACAAGTAAGCCCAACAAGAAGAAAGCCTTTCTTCTGGTCCCCACATACTTTCACTCTGACAGCCTTCCCTGACTGCAAAAGAGCAATATCCAACCTCTTCCCAAAATCACATCATTTTGTTGCCAAGAGACATCGACTGCAGTAAATCAGACCTCAGCTTATAATTAAGGACACCAAAAAAAAGCACCTAAGAGTCTCGAAAGGAAGGCATTACATCTACAGTGACAAGTCTCACTTGCACGTTCACTTAAATGACCTTCTCTGGCCCCAGTGAGGGCAATATTGCCTTTCTCAGTCTGATGGCATAGCAAGCACAGGTAAGAGAGAGAAAAGCAGGGAGCCAGCGTTCGCACACACCTGCTCTGACGCCTTTCCTTCAGTGCAGCTCCAGGAACCTGGCCCAAGAGTGTCCTCTCTCTTCGTGGAGACTGTCAAAGTCCAGGTGCCACATCTACCAAGACTTACCTGGCCCTCAAATCTACAGCCAGTCAGTTACCTTTGTAACTGCCCAGTCTCCATGGAGCTGATTCACTAGGGCAAAGTACGGCCCAGCCACCTCATGTGGGACAGAAATGACCTGGCGTATTTGCTCAGAACCCTGTCAGAGGCTGGCGCTTCTGTTTGCCTGGTTGTGGGCTGAGCCAGGTTCGCTCACAGGAGAAAGCATCCAGCCCCCCACGGCAAACAAGGAACAGACAGGCCAGGAGAGGAAATGCAGAAAGCCCTGAGGTGGCCTGGCTTGGTGACAAGAGCAGGTCTTCATTGACTCAGGATCCCTACCACTGGCTGGATCTCTCACTTAACCTCTCTGAGTCTCAGTTTCTTCTCTAAAAGAGGAATAACAATACGTAGCTTATGAGTATTACTGTGAGGATGGTATATAAATAAGTATACTCTATAAATACGTGTCTTCTTTTCCTTTCAAAAGAGATGAGCTGTTTCTACTGGTCGAAGCAGGGGTACTCACTCACTGGTGGGCTGTGAATACCTGGTCTGTCTGGTTTGGGTTTTTCTCATTCATGTTTCTCTCCATTGGGTTCTGGTCGTATGTCAAGTGTGTTACGTAAAGGGAAGGCAAATTGAAATGCCCAATATTGAACTGAAAGCACTGAAAAGATTCTATTAGAATAAGAAAATAATTTCTTGCATTTAAAAATATATTCGTTCATCATTATTAAGGTAAACACAGAGAAGCTCGTGTCCCCTTTTGAATTAATACTTTAAAATTCAGCATAGTATCATGTTATACACCTTAAACTTACGCGATGTTACATGTCTATTCTTTCTCAATATAGCTGGGGAAAAAATAAACTTCAAGTTCTAAAGCGGCTCACATAGTTGATTCTGTCTTTCAGCAAACACTTACTTAGTCTCAGCTATGCGCCAGAATGTGACACATAGAAACGTGAAGGGCAGAGTCCTTGCCTTCAAAAAGCCTGGGGCATGTTGTTTCTTCTCACCTTGTTACTAGCCTGGGGGAGACCACGGTGGGTGGGTGTCGTGGTCAGATAAGGTAATGTGCCTAGACCACAGGGTTTTGTCCCAGCCTTCGATGGCTCCTAAGACCTGGCAACCAACTGTAGAATTCTCTGACGGTGGAAATGGTTTCCTACCCTGCTGGTGGGCCACAATGTTTGGTTGGCTAATAGCTACACTGCCGTTTTCAATCCTCCTGGGGACAGGTACTGGCGAAGGACACACACATCGGCCGCAGGGGTCAGAACGTGGTTGATTATGACACTGACTCAGATATCGAATTACTCGTTCCGATGTATCACAGTGACACTCGTGGAAGCCTGATGTAACTCTTTTAGCTTAGGACATAACGTTAGTCCTGCCCTGTAACACCTACCACATAACTGGCACGTTAAGTTTGGAAGGGACCTCAGAGACTATCTTAGCAACTTCACTTGATTGATGATCAAACAAAGACCTGGAGAAGTGATTTACCCAAGATCGCAAAGCTAACCAGAAACTCAGTCAGGATGATATTGGTGTCTCGCACTGGGCTGAAAAGAGCTATCAAATATTCAAGAGTTTTGTGAGGTAGTAGTAAAACCGCTAGTAATTTGAAATCTAAAATGGTAGGAATATTTACATGGAAACTGAGAAATCTGCAAAGCAAGGTGTTTGCTGTTGTTTTCAGAAAGCTGGTTTACCAGCCGATTACAATCCCAGACTCACAGTCCCTAATCGTGTTCTTTCAACTACAGAATCGTCATTCTGTTAGTCCCCTTCACTGTGCATCTCTGGTTTAAACATCTAGCTCCGATACTCTAAATGCTTCTTTTGTGACATCCCAAAGCATCTCTGATTATCTCAAGAGTTATTATAAAACTCCTCAAACATTCACCAACCAACATTAATTGTAATTAGCTTTAATTATTATATATAGACATACGGCACTGGTTTCAGTGTCCTCGTGTGATCCCTTAGGATCCCTCATGTTGGAACAGCTACGATCCTCATATTTTCACTTCCCCAGATACCCTGTCCTCAGGCCTGATGCCTGCTCCGCATTTCAACCATCCACCAGCATCGGAGGCCTGGTCGCCTGCTAATTTCTGTGAATTTCCTTCCCCAGTCCCTGTCTTCTTTCCCAAATGCCAGACCACTGATAAGGATCATACTCCAAACAGGAATGACTACGCTGGCTCGACATTTGTCTACAAAACTATCATGACCGCTAATAATGCTGCTAATCTCTACTCACCAGATTAACGCTGATGAATGTGAACACCCACCTAGATGCACATCAGATGGATCCCTGAGCCTTGTGACTTAACGACTGCTTACTCTTGCCAGGGACAGCTCAGCAGCTGAGGTGTGATCCCATTCCTTTACTGAAAGTAAAAATTTAGAAAGCAAACTGAGAAGCCCTATGTCAATAGGTTAACAGTATTTATTTGTCTGGGTAACAGAATCATGGATGATTTTTTTTCTCTTTTTGCTTGTCCATATTTTCTAACTTTTCTACAATAAACATATGTTATTTTAAAAGACAAAAATCAACGAACATGATTTTTAATCAATACTGTATCCAAATGTGTCCCGGTCACATCTATAAATAATTATGCACCAAGTTGTGAAAATGGGGCAGTGACTCCCCAAAGCATCCAAGATTGGTTAACCATGCCTTCTGGAGAGATGATTCTGGAAATCATTCATTCAGTAAGCAAGTGTTTATTCAACATCCACTATATGCCCAACATTGTCACATAAATAAGGGATATAAAGATAAAGAACATATAATCCCTGCCCTGAAGAAGCTTTCAGTGTAGTGGAGCAGTAGATGTTCAACTACGCAGTCAAAATGCAAGGCAGCCATTATTCTGATGGATCTACCCCTGACTGTTCGAATGGAAGGAAGTACAAAGGAAGGTGACGAATTAGAAGTGAGGAGATGTTCTATTCAAGGTTATTTCATAAAGCAAGCAGGACAGATGAATGCCCCAACTAGAGCAGCCGCAGAGAGGTTGGAAGGGAGGAGAGAGATAAAATATATGTACGTTAATATGTACATATAAAATATACACACATACGTAATAGGTGTGTATGTTTATAAAATACAGTCGACATGAAGTGATACCCTGTTGAATATAGAAAATGAAGAAGGAGGAGACGTGAAGGACAATTCAAAGCTTTTAGGCTGTAGAGAGGGGACCGCGCTGACCTTTTTGGATAATAATCTTAAAAGAGGAGCCCGTTTGGTGGGGGAGACGATGCCTTCAGTGTGGGACATGCTGATTGCGAGCGGCCTGTGGACAGAGGTAAGCGTGTGTAACGGGCAGTTGGCTGTAAGAGTCTAGAGCTCAAGAGAGAAGTCCGAGGAGAGAGAGGGGGTGAGTGAAGCCACATTGCCTAAGAAAAGCTTAGGATTCGAACACAGGTCCTAGGAAGGAGCTCTGAGGAACACCAGCATTGAAGAGCTGGATACAGAGAGGGGGACCCATGACGATAACAGGAGGGGCGGGAAAGTAGGCAGAGGCCGAGAGATGGTGGTGTCCCAGCACCCAGGGGAGCGGGGTGGCTTCAAAAACCGGGAGTGTGATCAACATTGCCAAGCTTGGGAGAAAGACTGAGAAAGGCAACAAGTCAAAGTGTTTTCTGCATCACTGGGCGTTAACTGCTAGGAGGTCTGATGGTCACAACATGGACAATTTCAGGGGAACCGTTGTCAAGGGAGCAAGAAAGGAGACACGGAAATCACTCAGAGAATTTAAAGTAAGGAGAACGAACGTGAAAGTAATCTTTCTAGAAGCTTGAGTATGAAGAAAAGGGGCGAGAGCTGGGGCTATTTGAGGCACTCTGCTTGGATTTAGAGGGATCAAGACGAATGAGAGCCACATGCTAACTACATGGAGATACAGAAAACAAACACAATGACTGAAGGAACAAATCTCCTAAGAGGCCGGTCACATGGGCCAGATTAAGCCTCACTAAGAGGAAGATCACCCCCCTCTCATAGAAAGGAATAAAGTGAAGATGGACAAGGATGGAGACAAGTGTGTACACAAAGGGACTAGATACTGAGATTTCTCCGTGGACTGGACTGCCCAGCCCTACTGGTTAGAGGTCAGGGTGAGCATCAGTAAGGGACCTGAGAAACGCTGTAAAGGTTTGAGTTGGCCAGCACGGAAAATGGCAGTGGGCTTTAACTAGGAACGCGTGCTCGGAGTAGCCAGTGGGCTGGACACACAGCTGCTGTCGGACACCTAGACGGACTGGGAAGTCCGTGGGCTGTTGGCCATCTGTGCTTTGTTCCATGCTATACCCATGGCACTTGGCACAGTGTCCAACATATGACAAGAGCTCAATAAAGATTTTATTTACAAACAAATAGGCACCTTAAATTCATAGCAGCAACAGCCTCACCGTATGACTACACCCAGGAGTTTTCAAACGGTAAATATAGAGTTAAACTTGGACAGGGAGTTTCTAGAGAAAATATAAAAGAATGCTGCTGCAGTGAGTTATGGGGACAGACTGGTGACGGACCAAAGCGATGCCATGTGGGACATAAACGAGACAAAAACAGACCCAAATTATCTGCAAACCTTGTTAAACTGAGGTCCCTACATATACCTAAGAGACACGCTCCGATAGGTCAGTGAAGGAAAAACATTAATTTTTTAAATTAAAAACCTTAGTCAAAGTGGGAATGGCTAGATCATATCCACATCCGCATATGCAGCAACATCTGATACATCGAGGCTCTTTTTAGTCAGCAATCACTCATATCTCTGACTCCAAGAATGAGCCAAGGGATGGAAGGCTCAGCGCAGAGCAAACTCTAGACTCCGGCGAAGCCGCCACTTGGAGCCAGCCTTAGAGAGACAGACTCGTAGCCTTAGCCAGTGACTGGCCACCAAGGCTTTGACGCCTTCCCTCAGGTGAGCTGGGTGTCAGACGAGATGCAGAGCGGCATGTGCCACTCGGCAGCCCAGTTATCAGGAAGGACAAGTGCCAGGGAAAGATGGCCTGAATGCCAGAGGCGATTAGCCCAGCACAGGCACCATAAGCTACCAGTACCACTTCTGGAGCTGTTACTAATAGCACAACCCTAGCAGTGAAGGTTTGGGCATGACGCAGCTTCCCTACGGGACTCAGGCGTCCTGCGTGTGAGCCCTGACGAATGAGCTCCTGTAAATGTGACCTACCTGGCTGCTTGCAAACCTGCCCTCCCTGCACCCACCTCTGCTGCCAAGAGCCAGGGAAGCAACATATGGCTCAAGAAGAACGACTCCATTCTTCCTTATCAGCCCTGGACTGGCAGAGGTGGCCCCATCTCTACTGTCTTCACCCTCCTATTTTTTGATGCCCCCTGGACCAGGATGGGTGAGGTGGTAGATGGATGCAGCTGTGACTACTGACCTCACATCAAGCTCCAACAGGCAGAGGTGACTCACACACCCACTAAATGAAATAAAGGGCTCTAATGTGCTTGGAATTTTCTCTAAAGTCGCAAGGGCAAGAGGGCATAAATTCCCCCCAGAAAAGCAGTACCACTTGGTGGCCCTGGAACAAGGCTACCTGGGTGTCAATCTCAGCTCCGTTATCTGCTGCCCACGTGAACTCAGGCAAGTTATTCTATATCTTCTTTTCTTGACCTGTAAGATGGGGATAATAACACAACCTTCTTCACAGAGTTATTATAAGAGTATAATTAAGTTAAAACCCTACAAAGTACCTGGCATATAGTAAATGCTCAATAAATGTCAACTATTATCCTTTCCCTAAAAATGCCATGAAGTACCTAGGAAGTAATCTGCACAAGTCACTGGAAAGAGATTGATTGAGTGCCCATTACCGCTGTGAAAATCCACAGCTCCTTGACACTCAAACCAGTTTCCCCACTGAGCCATGAGATCAGGAGAATACAGAGAATCTATGTCACACAACTACACAGGGAAGAAAAAGAATGGATTAAGGTAAGCACATTGGAATTAGAAACTTCAAGAAGGTGCAGCTCAGCGCTTCCCACGCCGGAGTACCTGTGACCCACGCTTCCCACACTGGCATACTTGTAACCAATGCTTCTCACACTGGTGTACCTGTAGCCCCAGAGACAATCAGGATGCTTCAGGATAAGCACCAATTGTCTCATTCAAACTATGGTAAAATATGTTTTGCTTTTAAACAAACACAAACATTATATTATTAAATATTATGGAATAAAATCCAAATTTGTATCAATTTGACAATGAAGCACGAGATGTCAAAGAAATTTCATACTTGCAATGGGACAGATACACACACAGAGACACACACACACACATGCACACCCTGCTCCTCCAGGAGTCACTCCCTGCTACTGGTGGGACTATCTGACAGACACATTCTGAACAAGAGCAGACATTCACACATACAACTGGTGAGCTGGAAAGAGTCCATCCCATCCCTGCAGGTGACATGGTGCCTCAGCCAGGAAGACAGGACAAGGACCCCCTCACACACAGCTCTCCGAGTTCTCTACTGCTAGATGAAAATTCTCCATTACATAAGACTCTCAGGGTACCCAGGAGTCCAGTGACTCTCTTGGTTTACCTGGCACAGGACTCGTTTCTTCTCTGGTGAAGGTAGGTCCTCATGCTCCTTATGGAAATGCACCTCGATTTTTTTAAAGTCAGGACACTCTTCTTGGTGTATAACACACACGTGTGACTCAAACTCTCATCTGAACACAGAGCTCAGGTTTTATGGTCAGAATTGGGTTGCAGTCTTCAGTGCCTCCACTGACCAGCTGTGAAACCTCAAGCAAGTCACTTAACCTCTCAGACCAAGTGTCCTCATTTGTTAAATAATTGTATAATAATTTGTTAAATAATTGTATAATAATCGATATCTTCACAAGGTTGTTGTATAATTGTATAATACAATTATACAATTGTATTATCGATATCTTCACAAGGTTGTTGTCCTGTTCATGGCATATAGTAGATGCTCAACTAATATTTGATGAATAGATGAATGCATGATGTAGGAAAAGCACTTAGCACAGTTCCTGCATGTAATAAGTGTTCAACAAATGATGGACATCTGCATTGTTGTTGAAAAAAACATAGCAGGAGAGCTGCTTTCTAGGCTGTTCAGGGCGTATGTTCTTATGTAGCTTTTATCATAGCAACTCATATTTAATTTTTATCTTAGCTATTCTTTATTATGGGCTTAGAATCTAACCTGAGGTTATTGTTTTTAATTTCTATTCTAGCCTCTCTCTCATCATAATAATAATCCATTGCATTCATAACTTGTCTTCCCCAAAGATGCCCATCCTTGGCTCATTGGTTTCATTACCCAGTGGCATCAGTAGAGAATTTGTCCATCTGGGGGCAATCAAAGC